CATGACCCAAACCATCAAATACGGGGATTCCGCAGATTGTCGAGGGTTCAGCCTCCTGATGAGTCGGTGCAACTCCGACGAAACAATCTATCATCATCAGTCTTTATTTTTATTTTTTTTCAGTTTTTTTGGTTTTGGTATTTGCCTTGTTTCGTTGGTTGTTGCTGTTTCCCTGCCTTATGTGCTGGTGTGTTGTCTTCCCTCCAGCCTCCCCAGTGCCCTCCGACCTATGTGTTGTCTTAATGTTTTTTGGTACTTGCCTTGTCCACTGGTTGTTGTTGTCTCCCTACCTTATGTGCTTGTGCGTTGTCTGCCCTCCCGCCTCCCCCGTGCCCTCCAACCTATGTGTTGTTGCAAGTTTCTTGCTTCCCCTGTGTGCCCTCCAGCACACGTTGTCGTTTCTTGCTTCCCCCAACATTCAAGTAGATGCCGTTCTTCGCCACTACAGATAAAATCTACCATACTTGCGAATGTTACCTAAGCTAGAGGTGTGCCGATGACCTGTCATCGGAGATCATACCTGGCATAGTGTAGTGTAACTTGCCATGGGGTGCATTGAAGCACACACATCAAAACACACACACACATACACACAATCAGTTTTTTTGTCTGTCAGTCTTTCTTCTGTTGTCTGTCCTCCCCCTGACTTTTTCTAAGTATTTTTTGTGTGCCCAACCGAGCACCCTTAAGTAGTGCCAAACAGTTGGTGGTTCCTCGTTTGGAGTGCCTACTGCACTCTTATGGGGCTGCTCGGTTCGGGATGTCTGTGTTGCCTGTCGGTGATGACGGATGTTCGTCGGAGTGACTCCCTGGCTCAGTGGGTGGTGTGAACCAACAGTCTGCGGGGTTGTATCGTGATGTGAGTAGGTCATGTGCTGCTTTGCTTCGTGTTGGATGTGTGGACGTCCTCGTCTGCGCTCCCGCTTGCTTCACGTGTGGTTCTTTGCGGGTTGATGTGTTCGCTGTGCGGTGTGGCCGTGTTGTTGGTGTTGCCTTACGCTTCGCTGCTCCGCTGCTGTGCTGCTCATCCGTTGGCCGTGCCGTCCATGCTTGCCGCTTGTGTTCCCTGTAGGTTGGTTGCCTTGTTGCTGGTGCCTTGTGCTCCACTCCACGGTTTCCCAGCTGGTGGTTCACTCGCCTTGTCGTCCCCTGCAGTGTTGTTGCCTTGCTTGTGTTGCCTTGTGCTTCACTACACGGCTGCCGCGCTGCGTGCCATGTCGTCCCTTGCAGTCGTTTTTGGCGCTGTGCAGCCGTGTTGCCTCTACTGTGTTGCCTGGTGCTTCACAGGGTTGCTGCCCGCTGCTATGTTCCTCTTGGGGACAGTCTGCCTTCAACATGGGTCAAAGGGTTCATGACCCAAACCATCAAATACGGGGATTCCGCAGATTGTCGAGGGTTCAGCCTCCTGATGAGTCGGTGCAACTCCGACGAAACAATCTATCATCNCATGACCCAAACCATCAAATACGGGGATTCCGCAGATTGTCGAGGGTTCAGCCTCCTGATGAGTCGGTGCAACTCCGACGAAACAATCTATCATCTTTTGTTTTTTCCACTTTGTGTTTTTTCGTTTCCTTGTTGTCTGCTTTGTTGTCTTGTTGTCGTACTGTTTCTTGACTTGCCTGCCCACCCGCTTCCCCCATGCCCTCCAGCCTCTGTTCCGTGCTGTTGCTTCACCGCCCTAGTGCTACTTCTTGACTAGCTGTTGCCGCCTTGTGCTTCTGCCTGGTGCGGTTTGTCTGCCCGCCCTCCGTGACCTCTCTCGCGCCTTCCACTCCTTGTCGATTGTTTGTTGTTTGAAAACGTCCTACGGATATACTTTGAAAACACCACGACGATGGAACGATTTCTACCTTTGTTCTTCCCTATCCGCATACTGTCATGGTATATTATAAGCCCTTGGGTACAGTGTGACTCTTTCCATGGTGTTGTTCATGGAGCATGAGTTATGACGCATCATGCTGTGACACGGTCGCAGGAGCCCCGCAGCAAAACAGAACACACACACAAACACACACACACACACACACACAAATTGAAAAAAAAAAGAAAAAAGCACCCAACAGGGCCAACACACAAACAAAACCACAGTTCTAATGAAAGGTAATGAAGAGGGAGGAGGAAGGTGCAGGGGAAAGACCATGGGCTAAAGGCAGCAGGGGAACCAGGTCCAGGAATGGGACAGCAGGGTTTAGTCAAGACAGCATTGTCAACTGCCCAGTCAACTGCAGGAAGAAAGTGGAGAAAACTTCAGAAAAGGCAACAAACAGGGGGCTGTGAGTCTGCGACCGACGGTTTTCGTCACTCACTCATCAGAGTGCTGAACCCTCTAACCAATGGTACTGTAAGTCATAATCCACCTTGACCCTGGTTGCATTTGAGCATCAACCACTGCCGCACTTCTGATACCCTGAGGTGGGCACCAACCACTGCCCTCAA